TGTTGCTATGTTGCTATTTTGGAGATATGAGGTTTTGTCAAAATCACTGGCAAAAGAAAGTAAACTGAACGACAAAACTGTTTATGTAATAGTATTTTTCAATCATATAAAATTATATACACATATAAATCAAGTACAATCAGTGTGTCACTTTTTTAGTGGATTGAACTAGTGGATTCACTCTCTCACAAAACCTGCTTTTACCTGTTTCCCCATCTCTCTCTCTCGTGCTACAATGTTCTCATGATTTCTTTTTTTCGAACGTCTTACTTTCTCTTTTTCTCCCTCTCCGTCCATCACTCCGCGTCTTTAATCTGAAATGTGGGATTAAAAAAGGCTCCGTTTTCTCTAATACTCACTTGCCCCACCCCACTCTCTCTCCTTCTCACTCTGTATCTACCTCACTTTCTCTTCTCTCTCTCTCTCTCTCTCTCTCTCTCTCCCAGCTTGTAAGAGTCATTTGCATGGGTCAGCAATCTATCACAACAGTGCTAGCATTAGTAAATGGGTGTGGAAGGAGAAGGATGACACGGGGAGTGATGGAAAGCACATAAAACGAGTGAGTGTTGAGGAAGCAGAGAGAAGAAATGTGAGGCTTTGACTTAAAACAAAATGTAGGCTGTTTTAGGGCTGTTAAAGTTTGCTTTATCTCTCTCTGATGTAGTGTGTTTAGAGGTGAGAGAGGTCAATAGAAAATACAGCTGGATTCAAAACGGTCAGTAATGATGCCTGCGTTCATTGCTGTCTGCAGGATTAATTAAGACGAAAATGTAGATCGTTTGGCTGTAAGGACTTTTATTTTTTAAATATGTGGAATATGAGTGCAGCAGGATCACACATTCTGTAAACTCAACATATAGAAAGAAAGAAGGGAAGAGAAAAGCAAAGAGAAAGAGATAAAGCAAGAAAGAGCGTCAGATCTCTGAGGAGCTAAAGTGATGGGAAACTGCACCAATCCAGCAATGAAACACAAGATAAAGAAGGTAAGGAAGCAGTGATGTTGTGTGTTGGAATGTGTGTCTGTATTCAGATAAAACACTCAATCTTACAATCGTGCTCTTGTCTGTAGTAAACAAAACGTATCTATACAGTACATGTCTTTCCGCAGTTAGTGAATAGTGAAGACATCAAAACTATGAAACAGCACATGTGGAATTATACAGTGACCAAAAGAAACTGGTAAATCAAAACTTTTTAAAAAAGTAGGTTCTTCATTGCTCTTTATGCTCTTTAGCACACTGTTGGCTTCAAGAGGAGCCACTTGAGATGCTTTTCCAACAGTTCCATCTGTTCTGAGCAAATGAATTCTTAAACATACACCTTCGCTGTTTGTCCTGCTATATTTAGATCAGGGGTCACCAAACCTGGTCCTGGAGAGGCCAGTGTCCAAATCAACTAAACTACCTGATAACTAACTGATAAGTTGAATCATGCATTTGAGCAGGAAAATCACCTGGACTTTGGCCTTCCAGGTCAGATGACCCCAGAAGAACTTTAATTAAAAAGTGTAGAAAGACAGTAAAAAACATACATTAACATTCAAAAGTTTGGAATCATTGTTCAAAGGACAGTAATGAATATTTTAATAATATAAAATATATTTATATATTATCACTGCTGTCAGAAGAAAACCTTGTATATCCGTTTCATTCAGTTTTTGAAATAATTTGAAAATGCCTGTTGCCCTTTACATTGTGTGTAGATTTCATGATGAATGGACTAAAGGACACAACCCAAAATGACTTGGAAAAAATTCTGGTTCCATTGACTTACATTAAAAGTCAAGTAGGTTTTTTCCTTCTCCTGTAAAGTTACCATTTTGGTGATAGGAGGTTTTCTTCAGACAACAGCGATAAATATAATATAATATAACAGTAATAGTCCTGTGCAAACCTCCTGTTTCTAAAAGTTAGCAGAAAGCTAGAAGAAATAAGGTCATTTTTAACTGTGCCTTAAAGTGTAAAAAAGTTAACACTATATTTAAGTTTAAGCTTAAATATTGCTAATTTTGATCAAATATTTCTGTTTAGTTGTTTAGTTTTACATACTGGAATAAAATATAAAATGCACCATAACTTTTGCACAGGCCACATTTTATTTGTTTTTTTTCCCCCCAATATGTTACATTCAGCAAGAGTGCGTGCTTTATGTGGATTATGTGTAAACTTATTTTCACTTAGAATATATATCTCTAAAATGAGAACTGAGAGAGCTGTATAACATCAAGACTTAAAATTAATAAATATATCCAAAATGCCTTTCAAGTGGTGAAAAATTCCTGTGGGCAATAACTTGACAAAAATATCTAATAGAGTTTAAAAAATATTCACTTTTGTAATTTTGCTTTTAATGACTTCTTGTATTTCCCCACTTGAAATACTGAATAAAACATCTAAAACCTTTTGGAATCTAGTTCATGGTATTTAAATCTACTTTGTACAGTGTATTACTGTACAAAAAAGGACAATGAATACGACAAGTGATTCTGAACATTTGAACATCAGTGTTTATTCAGTCACGTCTGAAAACTTTTGAATTAGCTCTTTTAAATAGCTCTCTGAATCGCAAAATGTGTCTACAATCAGATATTTGTTCAATATCCAAAATGAGTGACTAGCTTCAGCCCTGCAGACCAAACCCCAGACTGACCAACACCTCAGTGTGAGTAGAAGTTAGTCAGCTAGCTAACTAGCTTAAGTGAAGTAGCGAACATAAACATTTGGCTCAAACAAAATCCTCAGGCCAATCGTAGACGTTTTAAACAAAACGGCCATACACATGTAGTACATACTTGATTTTCTTGTCAAAAGCTCAACAGTGTACACGCCCACACTGCCTCGAACACACCCACAAGAGACAAACTTAAAGTGACATTAGCGACTTATGGCCTCCTGATGTGAACGTATGATGAGGCTTCATTTTGTTGGTCTACAGCTAGATAGCACTGATCCAAAGCAGGCTGTAATTGTTTCATATGTCTTAACTGATCTGTGGCCCTGCCCAAAGGATGTGGCTGTGGGGAATGAGGCAGGGTCACTGCCCCAGGAGGCCGACGAGGATGAGGAGGTAAACTCTGAGTTTAAGCAGCCTCTCAGTGCGCTGGTCCAAAACTGCACTATGCTGCACAACATCGTCGGCCCTGCGTGCATCTTCCTGAGGCAGGGCTTCGTCCGGGCACAACTTGTATGTACACAGAAACCAATTTTTCCCCTGAACATTGCTGTACGACCACTTCAGCCATCTGCACCATCATTACGGCAAACCATTGTGGAAACGTCTATGACGCCATGAGCAATCATCGTCATCAACTTACCCATTGAGTGGTGCACATTTAGTTCCTTCATTTTTCACAAGAACCATCTTCCATATTGGTAAAATAGTTTGAGGGTGAATTCCTTCGTCCTAGTCCACACTAACCCACCGTCCAAAGGTTTGGGAGTAGAACCAGAGTCCTGGTTCTGAATTAATTTATAGTGGAAAATCTTTAACTGCAAAAATAGATTTTCTTTCCTGTCAACATTTTCACAAACCTTTCTTGTGACATAATTTTGCACTTTATTACGGTTTATCATGGAACGACTCTTCAATTGTTGAGTTTCCCAATCAAGAGGTGCTAATTGCTAACAGTCTACCAGCATTTTGCGCCAGCAGGGGTAGCCAATATTCCAATACTGTACTACTAACAAGTCCCATGCAAATGAACGTACAATCAGCGCAATGTAATCTGAACGTTTGGCTCACATGCTTTTTGTATGGAAGCCAATTTTATATGGAAACACATTGCATTATCATGTGTTTCAAGTCCAGATCATATTTGGATAGACTGGATCTGTCTCTGACCACGTCAGAATGTGACTTGAGAGATCGTAATTACAATATGTCCTGGTTGTGTTCACACCTGGCTTGGCTTTTCATGCATTCAAGTGGAATCCGAACACGAGCCGATCACTGAAAACGCTCAATCCAAAGTGTCAACAGATTTTTTAGGTTGAAAGAATGTGTCAAGAGTTAAACCTGGTAAAGTCTAAAAATGTCAAAAATATGCACTTACACATGACTATTTTGAAATAATAGGAATATTTTATATATTTTAAGGAAATAAAACATTGTTTTTGACATAGTAAGTCAGAAATTTCTTTTTGAGAAAAGAAGTATTTATTTTATTCTCTTTAAAAATGAACAACTTGGCAACCACTGTAACCAAGTGCCGTGCTGAGGAAGTGCAAATGACAAAAACAGTTTTGTTTTCTTTTAAGTGGCCATTGAAATTTCTCCCTTGTTTCAAGAAAACTTAGTGCCCTTTGGTGCTGAACGAGTGATGAGCAATGTTAACACTGAATCATAGAGTGACCCAAAATAATGAGAAAGGATTTAACCACAGTTGGTGGGCCTGGGGTCAATCCACAGTAATCCACTGGGGGCAGTATGGATGAGAGCGTGAGAGTGTGGATCCAGTATGCAGTATACAGTGTTGGGTATTATAAATAAAGCTGTAAATGGAAGAACAGAATCAGCTCTGGGATTTTTTTTCTCATGACACTCAGTTCAGTGATGTCACAGTGCTGCGATCACAGTGTTGACAGTGTGCTTGGTGTGTGTGTGTGTGGTGTGTGTGTGTAAGGGTCTTCCTCAAGCTAAACCTCCTAAATCTCCTTATCTGTGCCCGTTGCCATGCAACACTCTCCCCAGTAATCTAGTCACAGTGGTGAACTGTGTACTAATGCATGTTGCGTATGTAAATGATGGTGGGATATGGGTCGTCCTGTTCTATACAGGACCCTAACTCCTCCACATGTTCATGTTCTGTCCTTTTTAACCTCCTTGACCTACTCACCTCTTGCACATTTACAAGCTTTATCTGTGGTGGGATGCTCAGCCATTATGGGTCTGGGATTGAGAGATGAAGAGGGGAAGGGAGGGAGGAGGAGAGAGTTTATGTTTACATCAGAAAAATGTGTCTAAATTTGATGTTTTCATGTCACTTTGCTCGCATGCTACAGGACAGGGATCTACGGCCCGAGGAGATTGAAGGTACTTGCAGAAACCGTCCACTGTGGAATTCATTTTGTCATAGCATACTGGTCCTCAGATTAAAGTAATAGTTCTTTAAAAATGTATTCACACTGAAATATGGATCTGTCAAAACATGTTAAGTTTCCAAAATTTGCACAACGTAGCTAACAAGGAATTTACATAACTGCATGGCCTAGACTTGCTTACGTGATTTCCGATCCTGACATCCTGTTAGATATGAAAATGGAGCTTGATTTCCCAAATACAGGGAACTTCATCCGATCACGCCCTGCTGTTTGTGTTCAAAACATACAGTGGTGTGCAAAAGTCAGACACCACAATTTCCAGTCAAAACAGCAGCCATGAAGTACAAATGATTCATTTTTCAGCTTCTGCAAAAAGGCAGAAAACAGTTTTTGTCTTTATTATAGTTTCCATTCTTTTCAGGAGACTTGCTTTCAGTTTTTCAAAGAAATCTGCAGGGATATTTTTCCACAGCTCCAAAGTTCAGTCTTAGAAGTTGGTTGTATTTTCTGCTTGATCCCAGTAATCTTAATTCAAACAAATTTAGATCCACCATCTAAATCTATAAAATGTTCAGTTTCTTCTTGTGTATTTCCTTTTCTCAGTGAGGTTCTTCTTGACAGCTGCACATCCTTTCGGACCCATAGCACTGAGTTGTTTTCTCACAGTGGAAGGATGGAAACACCTGTGGATGTTTTCAGATCTGAAGCAGCTTGATTTTCTCCTCTCTCTCAGAGATGAAAGCTTTAAGTGCTGTTTATCTGATATTGACAGTGGTTGTTTTAAGTCTCATATTCTCTCTATATTTCAGTAATTTTTTGAGCTTCAGTTTTGGAAAATCATGAATAAATGAATAACAAGTTTTATTACACAAGTTTTATTACACTTCTATAACCTAAGAATAGCTCAGCCTATTTGCACTGAAGTCCTGTAGTTAGTCAGTAATAAATCTTAATATGTAATAAGCCTGGGATTTTAAGGGGTTAATGGCAGTTTTGACTGGAAATTAAACAAATGAAGCAGGAATCTCTGACATGCACACTACTGGTTGTAGAACATAACGTACCGTGTCGCCCCCATAATCAGTTGTATTTGACACTGTCATTGTTCCAAACGATTTAATGATGGTAAAAGACAGAAATACAGTTTTTATAAACATTTTCCTAAAACAGGCTGCAAAGTCTGTAACTTGTAATCCACAAAGCATGGCCATAGGTTTTGTAGTTTAATTTATTGCACTTTTCACAGTTGTATCTATTGCTTGTATGACTGCAAAATAGCTTTTTCACAAAAGTTTCAGCTTGGTGAAAATGTTCTGAATGCAGCCAACAGATGGCATAGGTGCCAGCCGCCTCTTACACACTATTGTAGGAAAGTGCTAACTGCCCAGTCCTGTCACAGATTTGCATTGAATGCAATGACAGAGGAAGAACAAAGCTGAGAGCAGAAAGTTGTTCTCTTGGACTCCAAGTCACAGATGGCTGTGGCATCACTAGGATTCAAACGAGCATTGCACCCCATAAAGAGGCAAATTGTAGCAGACATTAAACCTACCTGGGCTATTTAGGTTAAGGGGAAAGTAAATTTGATTATTTCTATAATATGTCTCTTTAAGCATGTAACTTTCTTGATGTGTGTAGAGCTGCGGGAGGCCTTCAAAGAGTTTGACCGGAACAAAGGCTACATCAACTGTAAGGATCTGGGCGAGTGCATGAGGACTATGGGATACATGCCTACAGAGATGGAGCTCATCGAGCTGAGTCAGCAAATCTGTGAGTGAGGTCACTAACCAGAAACACACAGATACAAATCACACTGCACTATGTGGACGTGCTTCCCAATCCTGAGGCCTGAATCACAAAAGCATCTTGTTTTTTTCCTTTTCACTTAACTTCCCTCAACTAATACTTAAAAAACATTATTCTTCAAAAAATCTCTTAAGAACATGTCATTTCTTTCTTAACTTTTCTCTTAAGATCAAACAATAATGATATGCTTAAAAAAAGTATATATATATATATATATATATATATATATATATATATATATATATATATATATAATTTTAAGACTATTATTATTTTACTATTATATATATAATTATATATATAAATATTCCAACTGCCTCACAGTTGTCTTAGACTGTAAGAATTGCCAAGATAAGTCACTAAACCTGTATCCTCTAAAGATTTTTACAAATGTAATTGTTAAAAACGGCCAATGAGGATTTTTCTGGTCAGCTACTTCATCCACTATCGCTTCTAGTTCTTGTTTGCTAAAATGTTAAGTGTAATATTTTGCTGTCCTCAGACTCCGAGCAGATTACACTGCATAACCATTTAGTGCAAATTGTGTCTAATCAAAATATATTGTGCCTTTTGAGGTAAGCTATAAAATATTTCACGATATTGATGGGCTACATTACAAATAGCTTTTAGCCTAAATAAGAAACCAATTGTGAAGAATTTATTGAGCAAATGTTTATTTTTTATTGCATTTAAGAACAATGGGCCTCATTCACCAAAGACATTTCTTCTTAAAACCCACTTATGCAGTTTTTAGGAAGATTCTGACTTTTTTATTATTTGGGATTTGTTCTTAGGTCAGAACGGAATCTACACACACTCAAGAGCACAAATGTGTGATCGATTCTGTGGTTTAAGAACACGACATGACTCAGACGTTTTCTTAGGACTCAAGAAAACATTTAAAAACAAACTTAGGAAGGTATTGGCGAATAAGGCCCATTCTTACGAACATTTTGTGTTCATCTTATAATCCTTCTTAAGCTTTTTCTTGGGAATGCTTTATAAATCTAGTCCCTGATCCAACCAATCAGCTAATTTACAAGCCATTCCTGTGTTGAAGTGGGTGTTTTAGAGCAAAGTAAGCTTAATCCAGGCTGATAACCACTTATATTCAAGGGTGAGACTCTAAGCCTTGTGGCGAACTATTACTGATTTTTCAAAATTTCGGCATTGTTCTGAGATGTAAACAAAGCCTCTCAGAGTGGTTTGATGTGAAATGGTTCCTTGTGGGGAAACTTACTGACTCTTTCTTTACAGTGGTGGTGATGGGAACCGGGAGTCACAGTATCTACAACACAAATATAGCCATTTTATTTATTTATACCAATGAACCTACACATTAGATTTTTATGTAATGTTATTCACAGTAAAATAGTAAATCTGAAAAAAAAAGTTTTAGGCCAAAACCATGACAAAATAATCACAAAACGTCATTATCACCACCACTGTGAACAATCCTAACTCTACAAGTTTCTCTAGAACCGTACATTTCACCTTAAATCACTCTGACAGACTTTGTTCATTATTTATGCAGAAAATTAAAAAAATCTGTGGAATTCCCCTTAAATGCTGTCCTGTGTGCTTTGTAGGTGGGGGTAAAATCGACTTTGAAGACTTTGTGGAGCTGATGGGGCCTAAAATGCTAGCAGAAACTGCAGACATGATTGGTGTCAAAGAGTTAAGAGATGCCTTCAAAGAGGTACCCACACCCACAGACACCCACCCACTCCACCCACCCACAGACACCCACCCACAGACACCCACCCACTCCACCCACCCACAGACACCCATTCACTCTTGAGTCCATATATGGAAACTAAGCTGCAAAAACAGCCCGTCTTGAATTTACTGTTTTTGTGACGTCACAAAAACCAGTGCATTTACATATACCTATCTAATCAGCTGACAGCAGTTTAGCCCCACCCACTGATGCTGAAATAATAGAAATGTTTCAATATAGGCTGCTTTTTAATGAGGCACAATACAGGGCAGCCAATCAGAACAGAGCTCATTTACATATCAGTCTTAAAGGCACAGTAGCAAAAACAGCCTGTTTAATTCTAATGCATATAGATGCAGGTTAGAAATGAACTATTAATTTTTTAGGACAAAAAAAAACAAATATCATAAGTTGACCTGAAAATATACAAAAAATACAATAATTACTAGAAAAATGTATGCTATTATGCTGTTATTAAGTTAATGGCTCAAATATTTATCAATACACTTTTGCAGCACTTTTTTGCTGAAGAACATGGCATGCAGGAACATATTTCTGTATAACCTTAGTCTCATTCTCCCACATAAGGTAGGATGGCATAAGGCATTCATTCCAACTAAGCAAGAGCACACATGACACAGTTGTTTGGAAACTGACCAACTGATCAAACATGTGGGAGCAGGTGTATTCCTGCTTGTTTGGAATGAAAACCTGCAGCAATGCCGGCCCTGTGCAGATAAGACTGGGCACCCCTGCTCTAAGGTTCTGTATACTGTATATATGGCATATCCAAGTCTATATTTACTCACAGCGGACTTGCCTGTGTTGTGTTCACACTCAGTTTGACTCGAACGGCGACGGGCAGATCAGTATTTCTGAACTGAGGGAAGCCATGAAGAAACTCCTGGGCGAACAGTTGAACCCCAGAGAGATTGATGAGATCCTCCAGGACGTGGACCTCAACGGAGATGGCCAAGTGGACTTTGAAGGTCTGAAAATTTTGAAAAAAGATAAGAGACTCTCAGGAGTTCATCAATCCACACTGCTATGCTTGGTTTTATGCTGTGTGTAAATTATCCAATGACATTCAGGGGGTCTGTGCATGGTATAGTAGTGTCTGGATTGGTATACAGTGCCTTCTAAGGATTCACCATTCCGACACACAACATCTCCATGTATAGATAAGCTACCATATAATTGATAGAGAGATAATAATTAATAAAAAATCTTGTGTACACGTACATTTTGTTGATTTTAAGTGACAATAAGTTTACACATTCTCTACAAAGAACACACTTCTGTACATTTATATTTGCTGAGTTTGACGTAAATAAAACAAATTGCGGCTTGTGTAAAATTTATGGCACATTATATCATATATAAGATGTTAAATATCATATTTAACATACTAAACTTAAATAAACTGTAAATAAATAAATTGTGCACTAAATTGCCCAGACAACTGGCATATGTAAGTGTGTTCTGTAGAGGATGTGATAACTTTTCACTTACAAAATCAACAAAACATGTTCAAATTTTTGCATATGATATATGATGGCATGATGTATGTATGATGTATATGATGGCATCTTCCTGACGCAGCTAGGAAAAAAATGCTATTAAAATCATTTAGTATTATTTAATTTTTAAGGGGACCCCCTCAACTCTCAATTCAATTTTTCCTTCTCTTTCATGTATGATTTAACTTATAAAAAATGGTAATTGTTATGAGATGGATCAGAAATGCTGGAACAAGAATAACACTAAACTGCATGGGGCATTAGTGAATGTCCATGACCGACACTGGAATCCACAAGTGACCACTCTCTCCATCCACCTTGTTTCACCTTAAATTCTTATCTCTTTCTCGTTGTTTCTCTTTTTTAGAGTTTGTGAGGATGATGTCACGCTGACAGTTCACCACAGATGATCTTCACGGAAGAATCTGTTATATATACATACATATATATATATATATATATATATAACTGGACGTGCAGCATTTGGTAATACTTTTTTGTAAGGCAATGGAAGATAAATCAGATTTGTACAGTTTTATTTTTCAGTTGAGTTGTATCTAAAGAAATATGTAATAAAGGACTTTGGTTAATGTGCTTTACTAATTAATGTGGCTTTAATCTGTCTGCACCAACACTGAAGGAAATATGACTGTGGGAGCAGAGCGAGAAGAGGTCATGCAGAAGTTTTTTGCAATAACTTTAATCCAGCGCTTCACAATAAAGCTTGCAGTGCATATAGTCAGTTATATCTAAACAAAGCAGTGGTTTCCCAGCCATGTTGTGTAGTCCTAAATTAAACTGCCTGGCAAACAACAACAGAGAAATTATTTCAGATTAAAAGTTTCCTTAGAAATGCACAGCCATATGCAAAATTTTGAATACTAATTAAATGGTCAAGTTATGTTTTGTTGATTATCTAAGTGAAAATGAGTTAAACATCCTCAACAGAAAAAAAAATGACAAATACAAAATTTCGCTGCAAATTTTAGTGCACAATTTCTATGTATTTGCTGCATTTAACATGTTGGAAAAACAAAACAAAATATAAAGCATGTCATAACTTGCATAGGCCATATTTTAAGTCTGCTTCCCTCGCTAATATGTTAAATTCAACAAATAAGCAGTCATTGTGCATTAAAATGTGCAGAAGTGTGTTCTCTGTAGTAGATGTTTTAACTTAATTCCACCTAGAAAATCAACAAAACATGTCATTTGACCAGGGGCGCCCAAATATTTGCATATGATTGTATTTTGAAACACTTACCCATTTGAAAACACTAGAGGGCAGCATTTACCATGAATTCATTGAACATAAATGAGATTCTGTGTAAGCGTTATTTAGTCACAGTCCTGCCTGTTCCAAAACTATATAAAACTCCACAGCGTTGGGATGTGGAGCAGCGGGACTGCTTTATCTGGAGGGATGGAGCTCCATTCAATACCCCTGGCACAAGTTAGAGTGATTCAGAACTGATCATGCAACATTAGCATCTGACCTCACTAATGCTTTTGTGGCTAAAAGCAATTAAATCCTCACAGCAATGTTCCAATATCTGGAGTAAAGCCTTCCCAGAAGAGAAGAAGCTGTTACTGCAGCACAGGGGGGACAACTGCTTTTCTTCATTAAGGTGTTTACACCATACAGGGTGGGGGATCAATAAACACCTTATTTACACAAAATTCTCACCAGGGATTCTGACTAATAAGACAAAGACATTTAGGAGACCCAGAACACAAAACCTAGAACACAAAACCTCCTCCAAGTAGCTCTTACCCTAAAAACAAGGATAAAAGGGAAGCAGGTCATGAAAACAAAAGCAATAAGAAGCAAAAGGTGGTTGTATGGTACAGTAATATAACAGGTTTTATTTTGGTTTTAACATAGACAAAGAATATGTTGTAATATACATGTGTGTGTGTATATATATATATATATAATATATATATATATATATATATATATATATATATATATATATATACACACACACACACACACACACATATATATATACATAGACCCTCACAACTTCAGTACAATTACAAATATAGACTTTGTCCTCTGATTAAAAAAATAAATAAAATAAGGCTCAACAGGCTTGAAGAAATTTCACATATGCTGAGCACTTGTTCACAGATGAAAAACACTTCTTTGGGGTCAAGATTTGTCTTAGTATTTAAGCATAAATCAAAATGATTAGGACTAGCCTTAAGCCTTGCTGGAGCTGGATTAGTTTTACCTGGGGAGGTGCTGTAATCTGAGTGATTACTGAGGATGTGTGATTTCAATCCAGTACGAATCTGCCACGTCTGTAATTTTCACAAGTCTGCTAAGTAATAATTCCTGAGTGAATAACCTCCTAAAATTCAGCAAACTGGAAGCTTCTTCAGCAATAGTAATCCTGTTTAAATTGACTTCATGGCAATGTAATAAATTCTGGTAACAGACATCAGCACCTCTGAATTTTTAGTGACTGGAAGACAAACTTGGCTGCAAAAATTGAGCTCTTGGCACATTTTCGTTATCCTCAAATTCAAATAGGACTACTGTAATATAAAAGATTTAGTTGTTAACTAGAAGGAGAATGAAATTAAATATCTGACAGTACCTGCCACAATGCAGAGCACCTTCTAGGCTGCTCAATATTTGTGATATTTGTTAAGTTAAATGAGCCCACTTTACTAACCTGATGCTGTTCTATCTGGTATTATCTCCAAGTTTGTTTTGGTGGTTTGTTTGGATGCAATTTTTTCTAATCTTAATGCTGAAGTGAACATCCAGGCCATGATGTATTGATCCAGGCTATGATGTTTTAATCTGGACTATCTGAGGTAACTTGGGGAAATTACACAGACACTTATTACACACATACATCCCAAATGAACTGGGTGGTCGAATCCCTTACAAATGTGATTTTCACTGCTAAAACTAATCCAGCTCGAGCAGAGCTTTAGTCTGACTTTAGATCAAAATGGCTAATACTATGAAAACCATACATTGTCAGGCCCGAACATTTGACTACTACTGTAGTGAAGATCCAACAGCAAACAATCTAAAAACATCAGTTTAAAACATCAGAATTCTAAAGTGGAGCAAACTCACTGGCCACTGTCAGCTTTACAGACCATACAGGTGCAATCGGTAGCTCTACAATCAGATCAAAGCCTTCTGCTTCATATTTGCATAATTTGTTAGTCTTTCTTGACCTTGTTCATCAATGGACCCCTCAATGTCACTGCTGGACTGGGAACGGTCCATCAACCAAAATACATCCAGCCAACAGTGTCCTGTGGTCAGAAAATGCCCACTGATGAAGGACTAGAAGATGACTAATGCAAACTGTGCAGCAAAAGATGTACTATTGTCTCTAACTTCACATCTATAAGGTGGACCAACAGGGTAGAAGGGTCCAATAGAGTAGACAGTGTTTAAAAACCCCAGCAGCACTGCTGGATCTGATACACTTATTCCAGCGCAATACACACTAACACACCACCACAACGTCAGTGTCACTGCAATGCTGAGAATGATCAACCACCCAAATAATGCCTGCTCTGCATAGTTCCTGTGGTGCTCTTGATTATTGTTAGCCTTTCTTTAGCCCATTCATCAAATCAGGTGTAGATAATGAAGTGGTCAGTCCAGCAGAACACGTAGAGGAATGGTTCATTCAATAAAGCTCATGTTGCCAATAATTAACAAAAGCAAACAGCCGTCTGAGAATAATATACTGATTGTTGGCTTATAGCTTCCCTTCACTGTTAACAACATTAGCATGTATGGCTGAGATATTCCTTTACGATCTCCACAATTTTCAACGCTCATTGTTCTCCACTTGTTTTGCGTTCCCTTCTTTCTCCACATATTTTTGCCTTCATCTGTCCTTCTTTGTATGACACCACAATCTCATGTGACGGCTTAGGCTTTTTTGGTATTTGAATGTCCGGTGGCAGGCCGTGCACTGGTGCCAGAGAGGCTCCCACTGGCGATGGTCTTTTCCTCTGATCTCATGAACGTAAAACTCATGACGCCTGAGGTTCCCACTTTCTGAAAAGGCCCTTCCACAGAGGCTACAACTGTATGGCTGGGCCCCAGTATGAACTGCCATGTGCTTGCGCATGTTTCCATGGTCGTTGAAGCTGCGCTCACACACGCTGCAGGTGAACGGCTTGGCTCCTGTGTGGGTATGCTCATGGCGTTTCAGGTCCCGTTTGGAGAGGAAAGCCTTGCCACAAGTTTCACATGTGTGCTTGCGTGGATTACTCGATTTCACTGTAGGTGTGCTCTGCTTAGCTTTCTTCCTACCTGGTTTCTTCTCACTGCTTTGCTTCATATCTGAGCCTGTGGGTAAATATGGAGAGCATGAGATATTCACTGAATTTGCATCAGGTTTTTCATTGACTGCTTTGGTGTCATTGGAATTTCTAGGCTGGACACAAGGTCTCCTTAAGACATGCATATCGGAAGCTTGTGTGGTCAAAGGGAGAACCTTGTGTGGTCTCCAGTTTGGATCACTTGTATCATCTTCTTCTGATTCCGACTGGTAGGGAGGTGATGTGCCCTCCCTTCTCCCTGTTATTGAAGGACTAAGCACAGTCTTTTCTCTACTGCTTCTCTGTCGGAGCTGCATTCTCTGTGTGGGCAAACCATCTCTGATGAACTCAAGGGAAGAAATATGATGATTCAAATTCTCTGTTTCTGGAATCTGACTGGTGGAATCCAGAAGAGGTGTAACTATAAGTTCTGAAGGTTCCTCTTTTTTGGCTGTCGAGTTGAAAAACTCTTCCTTTACTACATCAGGTTTGGACTCCACCTCCTCCTCCTGCTTGAAGATGAAGTCTATAAAGGAAGGGCACAGTTCTGTCTCCACATGCTCTTCTTTAACAGGTTGAAGGAATATAGAATCCTCCTCCTTCTTAACATGTGCCAAACAACTCATCGCCATCTGTTTAGTCAGGGAAAGAAAACATAGCATTAACTTACAGTTTGCTTTATAGCACCCACATATAATCATTTCAACAAGGACCAACAATGTCACGCAAACATAAGTCATCATGTTGTGCTACAATAGGCTGGTAAACATATGGCTTTAGAGTAGTCTTGGCTAAACCAAAGTGCCATCTGTGAAACAGCACTGGAAATTCATAGTCTAGTTTTAGGCTTAATCTAGAGTGTCTTAATTGGCTCTTTCTAGCATGTACATTAAATTCACCCCTCATAATTAATTAAAAACAATGCCATAAAAAAGTTTTTGTCCCAAAAACGATTGCATATCTTGCATTACTACAGAGCTTTCGTTAATATTAATTAACAGCTGGAACTTTAATAAAACATCCCCAAAGTATAATTTAATTCTTCAGCGCTGAGGACTGAGGAGAGATTACTATTTCAACCTTTAGGCCAAAGTTAAGTGTCTATTTTGCTCATCCCCTGTTTCCCTCAAAGATCCTATTCAAAAACTCCTTGGATGCTTAGGGAGTCAGTGAAGAGGCACTGCGCTCAACTTTTACACAACAAAAACACAAGAAAGACACATTTCCCTGTCCAAAATCAAGTCAACTGCATGAATTACACACACACAGTTCAGATCCTGTCATTCACCAGTGAGCTCCGTATCCTTCCCCAGGTGGGGCCCAGTCCTGTGTTTTAAAGACAGAGTTTCTCCTGGATCCAAGTGATCCCTCTTTGGCCTGCCGGGACCCAGGGCTGGAACAAAATTCACCAGGGAAATATTAGGATCCTGTTAAAAACAGTAAAATGTCAGGGAAAAAATATTCAACCAATTAAAAGATGGCATGAAGTTGAGTTCATTAAAAAAGCTTCCATTACTCCCATTCTGGTAGAGTTCTGTCTTACGACCGGAAGTCTCAATCAATCATCATCTGACAACGGATCACACTTTACCAAAAATATCCTATATATTTCTAGAAAGAAAGCAACGACTTCATTTCAATGAATGGGCATAAACTGCAGAGACAGAGGCTGTCTCAGTTCTCTTTTTGCTTATAAGATTTTTTTCCTCTCAAGGCACTGAGCTTGTGATTACAGTAAACCTAACCATTGCACGTGTTCAGATATTGAAAAATGTTCTTGCACAGCATGATACTATAAACTAGTGTCGATGGAGATAAATTTTTTCACTGTGTGTAAACCTAACAAACCAGGCACTGGTCGTCATCATCCCCACAGTCAGACACAAAGCAGGTGAAAATGGCTTTTAGCCACCATCATGGTCCTGCTCTGTGGAACGCACTGCCTAACAGCCTGCAATCTGCCCCACTGTGTCTTCTGCAAACTTAAGATTTTCCTTGGGCCTTTAGTCAGCTAATGGTACGTTTATTTTAGACTGTTTTATTAAATTAGTTTGTAGTTTATTAGGGTTAGTTATTTAATTTCATTTTGATAACGCCACTTCTTTTGTTCAGATCTTATTTTATTTATTTTCACTGCCTCATCTTGTTCTTAATTTTGTTTTACTTCGGTGAAGCACATCTAGTGTCTTGTGTGCTAAAAAAGAAACGTACACCAACATGAATTCCATACTGATCTAAGCTGCTTTATGCTGGTTTAGCTGGCCACCCTGCATGGTCATGTTGGCTGACCATTATACCAGCATCCAAAACACAAAATATGCTGGTCTTGCTGGTGACCAATCTGTGCTGTTTTTTTTTTGTTTTTTTTCTAGCCGGGAATTTGAGTCACACTATCTTATACTGTACTTCACTCAAGTGCTAAATGAAATACTAATTATGCTCCATGTCCACCAAGAATTTCATACATACTGGGGCCAAAACATGTTTTTAGGGAAAATATACAGAAAAAGGCACATTTAAAAATGCTTGCTTTTCCAAAGAGGCATTCGTTTAAATTACTGATATCTCTCAAACTCATCAAACTTGTGTGCCAGTAATAAACTGATCTGTAAACGAGGCTGAAGTTAGCTTGTTAGTCGTCAGCTGCTTATTCGAACTACCCCGTTCCACCTTAAATTCGAAGAAGAAGCTGGAAAAGGAAGCAAACTTCAGCCTCGCGATTTGTAAACAGTTTGCAAGCTAACCAAACTCTGTTCTTGTGAAAAACCTTTCTAGTTTATACTTACAGGACCCTTTTCAGCGCCTACAGAACGCCGTCAGGATGATTAAAACGATTTTAACCCTAAAAAACAACGTTAAATTTGTGTTAAGACGCTTTTCGTTAAATACCTTGTTTACAGTGTTGGGATAGTCCAGAGCAGCCTGATGTGGAGTGTTGAGGCGCAGCGCCACCTACGGCGAGGGAGTCACACTTCACTCAATGGCAGGGTGAAATGTAGGTCAGTATACTATGGGGTCGGTTTCCTGGAGAGAAATTAAGCCCACACAGATTGTGTAACATCCATAAATGCCTCTTAAAATTAGAATAGGACGTTCTGAAGCAGCTGCACATAAGCCAAAGGTCACCATGATTAGTGCCAAGTGCCAACTAGAGGGCAAAGCCTCTCTGGAACTGTGTACTTTAGAGTGATGGAGCACCACCCCAGTATCTTGGAGATGAGTTGGAGTGCTGTTTGTGATCAAATCCTCACAGCAGTGTTACAATAGCTAGTATAAAGCCTTGTCCAAACTTTCTATTAAAACTCTTTATTTTGAAAGAAGCAATGGATGTCTTGAAAACGTTTTACACATATAAAGTATTGCAGAAGTTCACAACCGCCTATAAAAGCTTTCACAGCCCACAAGAAGATTTAAAGGCCCATGTTTTACATTTTTCTTGTATTTTATTTCTTCCCCCTGAGGTTTATGTGGGTTTGTACTTACACCAGCAATGATTAATTTTTACACGACCATTTTCCACCCTCTGTTTATTCCTTAGAATCCAAAAAGGTTGTTTTTGTTACAGTGCTGTTTAGATTGATATAGAGCTTGGTTATGACTGGCTGCCTTGTATTGTGGCTCATTCAGAAAACACTCCCTATAACTTCAGTATGAATGGGTGGAGCTTAACTGCTGCGGGCTGAATAGGTGGATATATGTAAATGTGTTGGTTTTTGTGACATCACAAACTTGGTGAATTCAAAAAAGTTTGTAGCTTAGTTTCAATATATGGACAGTATGGACTTTAAGTGTTTACACTGCATAAAAACTGTTTTTTATTTTTAAAAATTGAGGAAATTTCAGTGATATGTGCCCGTTTGTTTCAAATGCAAGCAAATATAATACAATAAATGAGGTAGTCTATCGAATTTCACATGACTGTATAACCATGCAACATAATAAACACCATAAAAAAAACCCAAATTCTCTGTTTGTGGCCACATATTCAAGATAAATGAATTCTGTTCAATTAAAAAGAGAGACGTTCTACACTGACTTGCACTGAAAAGAAAAACAAATCAACTAGCTGGATGTTGGTTACAATACAAATTTAGGCCTAAATGTTATTTTCGCTATCTTATTATTAGCAATGATACTTGACATTATTGGTTTTGTTAAATGTGTATATATTGTAATTACATTTTGTGGTTTAAAAATAAATAAACAAACAAATGAGTAAATACAAAACTGCCAACAGCCCCCTAGCAGTACCACCATGGTCAACTGATGGGCCTCGGCCCACAGTCTGAAAACCACTGGTGTATTCAATTGAATACTGCAGTGTTTATTGATGTCTGCACTTGTAATCCACATATAAATAAATTCACAAAGAGAAAGAGGTTTGGTATCAATCTTTTGGGTTTTTATTGAAAAGGTGCCCAGGATTCTGTACATTAGACAAAGGGAGATATCCAAGGATCAGGAGCTGTAACCTTTCCTCATCTCTTCATCTCTCCTTCTCTCTTTCCGTCCTCCTGGTAGGGTAAGGGATGAGGAGTTGGGGTTTGGGGCGGATGAAAGATAAAAACTAAAAGATGGAAGGAAAACAAAAGGCCATGACACAGGAGAGAAAGAGAGGAGAGGAAGCGGGAGGAAGAGGGAAGGCGCACGTTTGTTTTTTTTTCTTGGCGCTCCACAAACAGACATGTAGAGGCCCGGGAGCTTAAAAAGGCTCCAGTAGAAACGTACAGCGGGATGTCCCGTGTGAGCCTGAGAGTCTGTCACCCCTAAGCACCCTCTCCCCTATTTTTATCTGTGCAGGAGCTTGGTATGGTCCGTCCCGGTCAGAGAGGCGCGTTTGGCCTCAGACGTCTCTCCTCCTCTCCTTCCTCCGGCGCCCCTCTGCTTCTCCTCCGGTCCGTCTCTTCCGCTCCTGGCCCGGCCCTCACTTGCTGGCCATGGTGTAGCAGCCGTGTGGGTGCCACTGCATGTCGCGGATGCGCCTCATGGACTGCATCTGAGGGCAGCGAGCGCCGTACTCGTTAAAGTGTCTGTAGTCGCCCTTCTCCAGCAGGTACTGGCTGCCACGGTAACCGGGGTACTGGTAGCCCACCCAGCTGGAAAGCAGAAAGGTACATTTGGTTACTTGGTGCTGTTCGCATTTTATACTTGTATGTTCTTGCTATCTAGCTATATAACAAGCCTTTCCTGAGTTAAAGCAGGTGATTTAGATTAGATTGTGCAGAACAGGGATACTCCAGTACTACTGGCATAGCTGATGGCTCCCCACTTACGTTCCACAGCTGACGATGATGCTGCCCACTCTGTCGGTGAAGCCGTAGGAGTACAGGCTGGGAACGTCATCGTCCATGATCTCCATCTTACGGCCCTTGAAGTCGCCCACCTCATACAAGCAGATCTTGTGCTTCTCGGGGTCCTGGGAGCAGAGGAGAGATTGTTGAGTGACAAAGCAACACTGACCCGGTGAAATGAGAAACGAAAGGGGACTGTTTGACTTACAAACTCAAAATGTTACATGAAATAAAATTGCATTTGATGCTCTGAATGAAGTCTGTATGGAAATATGTGTGATGTTGAAATTAAGTTTGTATAAGAAGTTCTGTTTTTGAGCAGAGAAGAGTGTCTCCGCACCATTCTGACGGGTCTGAAGGACAGCAGGTAGTCGTTCTTCTGGCAGTTGCTCCAGGAGTCCCAGCGGGGGTAGTCACCCTTCTCCAGGATGTACATCTCTCCACAGAAGTTCATCTGTTCCCAGCCCACGAAGCTGCACAGAGCACAGACACACTGAGTGAGAGATGCACAAGAATGTACACCACACTGTGTAGGCTATCCATTCATATAACCATCAGCCTCTCCATCTCTCCATGCATCCATTCCTACATCCATCCATATAATCATTTGTCCCATCATTAGTCCCTCCATCCATCCATCCATCCATCTATCCACCAATCCTTCAGTGTAGGGGTCAAACTTACGGGCCGCACTCCACACGCAGAGAGCGAACTTTGTCCATTCCCATTTCACACACATTCATGCACTCGGCGTTGATCTCAATCATGCGACCCTGGAAGTTCTCCTGGTCAAACACGTACATCTAAAAGAGAGAGAAAGAGAGAGAGGGGTGTGTTACAGGGGTCGACATTGGCTATTGCTTTTGCCCCTGGCCACTACATTCCACATTTTGGCCTATGAAAACGCAGAGCCTGTGGCCCCAATGGCCACTATCTTTGGAGATTTGTTTTCCTTTTTAAAACCCCATCAGACCATTAACAAATATCCAGCACATTCTTAAAAAAGGCACTTCAAGTGTTCCTTAGTAAAGGCAATGGATCTATATACAATAATGAACACTCAAAGAACCACTTATGCATAAATGGTTCTTTGCATGGTCAAATGGTTACTGTCCATGATGGAAGACCAGTTGTATATGTTTTGTTTAAATAATGGTTCCATATAGCCTCTATGTATGTTTCTAAAGAAATTCATTTTGCTAAGAAACCACTACTTTTCACTTCCCATGTGAGATCCAGAGCTTGTTTGGTTGAACACTGAACAGCATCAAACCAGATTTTGTCAGAATTTGCTGACCTTTTTCAAAGCAGTCTCTGACTAGTGTTTGGTGGAAAAGCCTGTTTGTTCAGTGTAAATAAAATTTATATATGATATACATGTTTCTTTTATTCTGGCCACAAATTATTGCAGAGATTCTCTGGCTTGATGGCCAATGCAAACGTTTATGTCTGTCCACCACTGGTAAATGACGTCATAACAAGTGACCAGATCATTTTTTTTTGCCTGGGAGATTGTCTGTATGTCTGTGAGTGTGCGTTTTACCTTGTAGGCCATCACGCCCATGCCCATGTCGGACTTCTTGGTCTGGGCGGCCTTGCCGTCGGTCTGAGAGGCAGCCTTCTTATCTCCACCGGAAGACATGATGCCTGGAGAAAGAAACAGAGAAGCAGAGGTTACATTTACTTTACAAACACTTTAGCCATTTAGCTTTAGACAAGCTAAATGGCTAAGCAGAGCCTAAAAACCAGAAATGACAGAATTACCCAGAAGAAGTTCTTTTATTTTCTTCTTATAGTCCACATTATTTTTTCTTAGCTGTTACAGCAATATGTGCCGATGTATATGTCATATATGTATGTGTGTGCATGTGCGCATGCATGTGTGTCTTACCTGTGTGTTCAGTGCGTGTGTGGCTGTGCCCAAGTTCACTGTGGGAGTGTGTGTGTCAGTCCATGCCTCCGGCTCTTATACCCTGGCGCTGAGTGAGTGGGGATTAACCCTGGACAATGGGGGCCGCTGAGCTCAGCACACGCACAGAAAAGAAGCCCCTCATCATCACCACAGAGGGCGAGAGACACAGAGAGACAGAAACAGAGAGATACAAACACAGCAACATAGAGTATGGGACCTCCACTTAACAATTCCACTGCAAACACTGAGGCGACTATCAGCAGTCATCACAGTTAGCTCCAGTGTCACTTCTCTCATCTTTAGCATACATATCAATATACTAAACAGAAAAGGTACAAAGACACCAGCCCACTTTTTATGAGGTATAATATCTGATAAGATCTACACTCTCAGGTACGTGAACAAATTGTGTAAAACTAATTATCTGCTCAATAAGTGTGTTTTTGCCACAATGTATCGTTAGAAAAAAACAAATAAACATAAATATTCTCACTGTCAAAAAAAAACAATGTAAAAGCGTCATCTGAACACAGCAGCTGTGTGAAAGTTTCATGATGAATGGACCAATAGTAATGTTCCAAAATCACATGAAATAAAATCTCTTTACATTAGCTTCCATTAAAAGTTTTTGCTTTCTCCTGTAAAGTTGCTATTTTAGTATTATTACTATTACTATACTGTTTCGCTATTACTATTTTTTGGACAGTGGCAATTTCTGTAAAAACTAACAAGAATTTCATGTTTTTTTTTTGTTTGTTTTGTTTTAAAGGGGAGTTTATATCTTCTGAGGTAGTTAAAAGAACAAAGTTTCTTTGAAACTTTCTTCTCGATGCCTCCAGTCATTGCACTGATTTAATCAAGTACTCCTGATACAATTTAATGAAGTACTGATGAGCCAAACCAGATATTGAATGATAACTACAAATAATACTGGGCTGACTTAAGAGGAGGTTTGGAAATGGTTAAAAAAAATACATCAGCAGACATAAAACTGCAACTTATTTTATTATTATTATTATTATTATTATTATTAATAATATTAAGGATTTTCTAAGCAAATAAATGCTCACTTCACAGAAAAAAGTTTTTATATACATTAGGTGCCTAGTGACAAGTCTGAGGAGTGGTTTGATGCGTTCAAAGAAAGTCACGGATGGACTGTATCAACATTTTATAAGAACAGGAGTGAACCGGGCCGTGATTTAGGCCAACATTTGACACTTCCATTATATTAGCTGCCAGACAAACAGCTCCAACAATATTCTGACACTGACATATTCAGTCAATGAGTAAGTAAACATATCTGAATAAAAATCTGAATAACCTAACTTTAGCACACTTTAGCGCATAAGCGATAAATGCCATGATACCATACATTAGAGATTCTAGGCTATTTCTGTTTACAAGTTAACTGAGGGTGAATGAGTGGGGAGGGAGTGCGGCCACTTTATTCCCTAAGTCAGTGGCATACTGTCTGGACGTGGCATCACTCTAATATAGGTTTCAATGCTATGTTGTTCACTCAGCTATGTAGGATGCTGTCAGACATTCTGCATGATATTGATATAAAACACAGTTTCTTCAGACTAGTTTAATCATCTCTCCAGATTTAACAGCAAATGGTTTAGAAATCCATCCAAGATGCAGTTACTGACCAGTTAATGGCTAAATCCATATTGGTTTCTACACTGGACATATAGCGCCTTAATGGGGTGCAGAATCTGTCATTTTATGGTCTTTGTGCACTATATAGGGAGAAGGGAGCAATTTGGGATTCAGCCACTAAACATTTTTATGCTCTATATATTGCAACTGTTTGACTGTTATTGTAAACAGTGTAAGTCATATAACATCAGCATCACTGGTATCATTTAATCCTAAAAATCAGTGGTGTGTGGCCTGGAGGGGGGAGTGATTCGGGGACTTGTGTCAATGTGTGAATGAGTGGGAGTGAAATCTTTGGTGGTGGGAACAACTGGACATGGCTTACATCCAAACTTCTCATTTTGGACTGACATAATAGCCACTAAAGTTTATGACCAGAAAGATCCACCTGTGCAAAGTTCATTTATTTACTCATCACTATCAGTTATTTTATTTTACAGCAGATAAAAATGAGGCATTTGGCACATTTACATTAAATAAATATCAGTTTGCACTGTTTCTGTTAATAAACAAAGTAAAAGCAGTGCATCATTCCTTCCATCCATTCAATTGTCCATCCGTTCCTCAGCTCATCTATTTATCCAGCCATCCATCATTACACGCGTCCAATTACTCATCTATTCAGTTATCTGTCCATCAAACTTTCCATTGATCCATCCATTTAGCCTTCCTTTCACCTATCCATGCATCCACCCATTCCTCATCCATCCATTTCTCCATCCCTTAATTCATCCACCCATCCATCCCTTCATTTATTCATACATCAGTCCAGCCATTCTTCCATCCCTTCATTCATCCACCCATCAATTTATCCATTCCTCCATCCTTTTATTCATCCACCTATCAATCTATCCATTCCTCCATCCCTTTATTTATCCATTCATCAGTCCATTCATTCCTCCACCCCTTAATTTAGTTGCCCATCCATTTATGCCTTCATTCATCCACCCATCAATCCATCCATTTCCCCATCCTTTTATTCATCCACTCATCAATTCATCCATTCCTGTGTCCCTTCATTTATCCACCAATCAATACATCCATTTGCTTCATCCTTTTATTTATCCATCAATCCACCCATTTCTCCATCCCTTTATTCATCTATATATCAATCCATCCATTCCCCTTTCCCTTCATTTTTCTGCACATCCATCCATCCCTTCATTCATCCATCCATCCTTTCATTTATTCATACATCAGTCCATCCATTCTTCCATCCCTTCATTCATCCACCCATCAATCCATCCATCCATTCCTCCATCGTTTTATTCATCCACCCATCAATCCATCCATTCCTACATCCCTTCATTTACTTACCAATCAATCGATCAGATTGCTTCATCCCTTTATTTATCCACCCATCCATCCATTCCTTCATTCATCCACCCATCCATCCTTTCATTTATCCACACATCAGTCCATTCATCCATCCATCCCTTCATTCCTCCACCCATCAATCCATCCATCCATCAATTCCTCCAACTATTTATTTACTTACCCATCAATCCATTCTTTCCTACATCCCTTCATTCCACCACCAATCAATCCAATTGCTTCATCCCTTCATTTATCCATCAAACCATCCATTTCTCCATCCCTTTATTCATCTATACATTAATCCAACCATTTCTCCATCCCTTTATTCATATATACATCAATCCATCCATTTCCCCATCCTTTAATTCATCCACCCACCCATCCATCCCTCAATTCATCCACCCATCAATCCAGGCATTTCTACATCCCTTCATTTATCCACCAATCAATCCATCCAATTATTTCATCCCTTCATTTATCCATCAGTCCACCCATTTCTCCTTCTCTTCATTCATCCACACATCACTCCATCCACTCTGCCACCTATCATCTATCAACACATCCGTCCATGCCTGGTCAAACTCTGACTCTCTGTACACAGATACAAGTTTTCACCTCCATGCATCGCGCACTCTTACGCACTCGCGCGCTCCCCCATAGGCACCTACGCGCTTAATCCCCGTCATTTTGCTCTCTTTGTCCGGACTGCTGACCTGCGCGAACATACCGGTCACATCCCCTTTGTGTGTCCGTTTCCACGCGCCCCTCTCAACTCCTATTCACACGAGGCACAAAGCCACGTTGCGTGCAGCCGCTCTATAGTATGTGCTGAGCTGGCGAGCACGAGAGAGAGAGAGAGAGAGAGAGAGAGATGCGGTCTGCGTGCGCATCTCGCTCTCTCTCTCCCTCGCGCCGGTATAAAACCGAGGCGCCAGGTTCCCTCCAGGCTCCACGCGAGACAGGCGTTACAGAAGCGAGTCAGTGACTAAAACGGTAAGGCGCGCTCACGCGCTGCACTAGGAGACTGAAATTCACCGACTCTAATCCACAAATCAGCATCACTGACAACCAGGGACACATTACAAACTCCTAAACTGTCTGCTTTACCACGTGATCTAACCTACAGCTCACCTTTAACTACCTTCACTCTTACATTTCTGTCAGGTGATGAGTGATGTTTAATTAATGCATTTATTATTTATTGTTTAAAACCTGATTTTAAAACTTATTATTAACAAGAATCAGTGAAATAACCCTTAAAAACGTGGCAGTACTGTAAAAAATTAGTCTTATTGAATCTCACTTAATAGTATAATTACTGTAGATACACATTAACCTCAGTGCAGCCATGTGTGTCTGAACTAAAGCAAGCAAAGCGTTTCTTGCTCACAGTTTTGTGTGTTATCACTCCTTCTCTATCCTCAGGAATAAAGATGTATCGATTCAGCCGATCCGCCATGATGCACCCCATGGTGAACTCTGGCATGGGAATGGCCCCCTTCTGGAAGGTAAACCCATAAGAGCCTGTCAGTCTGCAACATTAATGTCAGAGGTTCCCAAATCTCAGTCCTGAGGACCCCAGTCTCCACTCTCACACCTGACCTAGCACACAAGGAATGTGTATTAGTCAACAGGGTGATTCGGGTGTGGGAAAGCACAAAAATGTGCCTACTGTGGGGTCCCCAGGACTGAGATTGGGAACCCATGACTTCTGTTGACCTCACAGACACCTCTGACCTCTGCTTTGGGTGGGTTTCAGGTGACCGTGTTCGAGCAGGAGCACTTCCAGGGCAAGTGTCAGGAGTTCACCTCCGAGTGCTGCAACATCCAGCAGTGCGGCTTCGACAACATCCGCTCCATCCGCGTGGAGAGTGGCGCGTGAGTCTACCTTGTGTGTGTGTGTGTGTTAGTGTTCAGATATTAATGGTCAGTTATAGTGTACTCAATATGTTTTAATTCACCCAAGCTTAAAAAAATGAGAAAACTTAGACTTAATGTGCTGCTTTTTAAATAGAATAATTCCCTTTTATAATAATCTTTATTCAATCATTTTGGTTATAAAATCTCAAAGCACTTCATGTTTTGTGTTAAAAAGCTAAAAGGTTACAGTAAATCAAAACAAAACTAAGGAAACAGCATAATGTCAAATTATCCTGTTTTATTACTTGAGAAACCTACAAAATGAGACACATTCTATACTTACAATATGGTGAGAGATTAGTTTATGCGTTCATAACTAGTTCAGAGTGCAGCAGCTCAAACGTTTGAGCACTTTACCTCAGTCTTATTCAGTTTACACTTAGCACATCTTTCTGATCTGTTGAAGCTTTACAGCCCATACAGACTAGTTCAATCAGCTGAGGAAAGACTACTGAAATCTCAGAGGGTCTCTTACAGCTCAGCTGGTGGAAGATCATTTTCTAATATGGATCATTTTTCTGAATTGGTTCAAAGTGAGTTTAATTTTAACTTTTAACTTTATTTGACTTGGGCTTTTGCTTTGAGGACCCAAATGATTGAACATTCCATTTTGTCACCACCAAAACAATAATACCACCACTGAAACTTTGAATGTTTCAGTAGTGACAATTTCAGCTAAGTTCCTGCAGAACTCAAAAATGCTAGCCAGTATATCACTGGCTTTGAACAGCTGTACACACATAAAATTGTAATATTTTTATAATATTTCTCAACACAAGTTTACTTAACTGCAGAAAACGTGTTCAGTGGTGACAATTCTAACCGTTACACACTGATTTTCAGACTTTGTGACATGTTTACTTCAAAACAATGGGATCTAACTGCTTACCATGTGGCCATGAGGGACAGGGATGCAGTCTCTCTATCTGCTCTAAAATACAGAGGCGTGGCTAAATAAGGCCCTGCCTATGGACTAAGACTCTGTGTTTCAGGAGTGACACAAAAACATGGGACACCATTTTTGAATAAGGTTTTTTTTATTTAAAAAATTAAACTCCTGATAAATTGTTCTAAATTTTTTCAACTTCAGTAACATCTTTTAAAAAGCACATTGAAAAATTATGTTAAATATGTTAAGTATTATTTTAAGTAAGTTGAAATTAATGGGTCAGGGTTTGGGACAGCCACCTCCCAATAGAAAGTACTCTGTAAATGATGATTTTGTATATATTTAGCTTATTACTTTATTAATGCCTTGGATTTAAATTGATCATAACATAATAACATGGGGTCTAAATACTTAACTGTGTTTTTTAAATAGGTATTTTTACTGTGGGACCACAGTTAACAAAGGGAACTAATTCAGCAGAATGGTCCATATATAAACTCCACATATATATATAAACTCCAGAAAGGCATTCCTGTTAGCATTCCTGCATAAAGCACTTTGAGATTTTGCAACTGACATGAAACTCTATATAAATAACTAAAAATAATAACTGTTTATATTGTTATTATCATTATCATCATCATCACCTTTATTATTATTACTACTGTTATTAATTATGTGTGTATTTGAGTGTTTAACCCCCTCTTGCTCTTCCCAGCTGGGTGGGTTATGAGCACAATGACTTCCAGGGGCAGCAGTTTGTCCTGGAGAGAGGAGAGTACCCCCACTGGGACTCTTACTGTGGAAACCTGGCCTACCATGTGGAGAGATTCATGTCCTTCAGGCCCATCTACTGTGCTGTGAGTTTTTCAGTCTCTGTCTGTTTCTATATATACATGAGATATATCTGAACAGTGTACAGTCATCAGGAGCATTCTTACTGGAGTTGCAAAACATATTGGTGCATCATGATACATCATTCTAAAGGTGCTGATTCAACTGCATCAACTTTGCAAAGTTAGAATTAATTATAATCATAAACAGTAATATATACATTATACTTCAAAAGTTTAGAATCACTTGTCGTTTTAATAAACGTTATTCAATAGCAGCTTACACAGTGTAGACTGACCATCTATAAATATATATTCACAATTTAAAGTATTCTGAGAACAATGAGAAGTATAGTAAATGAGTTTTGGTCACCACCTTTCGAATATGAGGGATTCTGGATATAATGTTTTAAATAAATTTATTTTTGATGCTATACAGCATTTTCAGTTATTATGGGAATCATCTGCAGCTTCGCTCATCATTGCAAATTTTGTCATTTTTACAGCCTCCTACAAATTGTTGGAAACTTCTAGAACAAAACCTTCATTAGTCACTTTATACATGTATCTACCACATTAGTTTTATTTAATTGAAAACAATGGTTTCAAACAAATGAAAAAATCAAAAACCTGTGTATTTTTGAAATTATTGATTGACATTTCGTAATGCATTTAATTATTTCCTAAAAATCAGAATAAAACTAATTGTTTACCAAATGCCTATGTGCCTATGCTCTCCTGAAAGCATCTCCTATCTCCTCAGGCTCACCAGAGCAGTCGTATGATGATCTTCGAGAAGGAGTACTTCATGGGCCGCAGTACAGAGCTGTGCGATGACTACCCCTCTCTGCAGGCCATGGGCTGGTGCGGCATGGAAGTGGGCTCCATGCATGTGCAGTGTGGCGCGTGAGTATCCTCAAAGACACACATATTAAAGAGTGGGCGATATGGCAAAAATATAACATGATAGTTAAAGGCACTTTCATGATAGATAAAATCTATGATGATCACAATATTTAGGTTTGCAGCAAAATTTTAAAAAGGCTTTGAAGAGCTTACTTGAATACTGTGATTTTTTTATATTCGATATTTGAAACACTACATAAGAAGAAATAGACTGGTAACAATAAATAAATTGGTAAAAATAAATAAATGAAATAAGTAGCGACAGGTAGCTGACTGGCTGTGAGCCCATTATATGATGTCATAACAGGCTGTTATCCAATCAGCTATTTGATCTTAGGCAGTTTGTACAGTTACACACTGGTTGTTGTATTCAGGACTCTGTATAACTGGCCAAATCTCTTTTCTCTTAATACCTTTATACGTAAAATCACCCTCTACAGTGGACACACTTCTGTATATTTTAATGCAGTTAATGTTGATATGTTGAATGTAGCACATTGGTACAACAAACATGCCATATGTCAACAAAAGTTGTGGCACATTTATATTTTACATTTTATATTTTTTTCAATAAAATAAATAGAAATGGCAGAAAATTAGCAGAAAAATGCCATTTTTAAAAATTTGTTCACCTTTTGCATATGACTGTAAATACAGTTGTCCAGTGTTCAGAGGAAAACCACAGCTTAAAAAGTAGTGACCTAATTTATTGCAATAACGATAACAATCATACTACCCAGCCCTAACAGTAATCACTCTCTTTCTCTCTCTATGTGTGCATGTCAGTTTTGTGTGTTATGAGTTCCCAGGCTACAGGGGCAGGCAGTACATCATGGAGTGTGAAAGGCACAGTGGAGACTATCAGCACTGGAGATACTGGGGCTCCCACAGTCAGACTCCTCAGATCCAGTCCATCCGTAGGATCCAGCACTAACAGGGCAGCCTCTACGAGAGACACACCACGGACCGCCCAGCCGCCCGGCACTCACACACTCATCTCACACACACTGTTTTTCCTCACCAGTGTCTTTTTAATCGCCAACACCACACGCAACCACACGCTATACAGCCATCCTGTCCCACACATGGGTGTCGATCACAGATTTTTGTCAGGTGCTAAGCCACACCCCTTGAGGTGCTCCTACCCAACCAGCACGCATTCAGCTTAGCAAGGCCACGCCCCCCCAAAAGGTGAGGCGAATGGTCAGGAGCAGCTCAGGTGTGATGTGTAGGAGGGGTATGAAGTATCATGAAGCAATAAATGCATAATAAACGCATGTTCACTTCAGCGAGTGTGTCAAATTATTGTGTCTGTGCATGAAAAAAAAACAATAAATACGTTTTCAGACCTGGACAGTAGGATTGGTTCCCACACAGATTCATGACATTCTGTTTTAATGCTGTACATTCTGTTAGGTGTAATAAAAACAGATCACAGTAAATTTATTTTATATTCTAAATAATAAAATAGTAAATTCAATATATTTTACTAATAAAATAATAATTCAATAATAATAATTCATATCTGTAAAGATAACTACAATGAAAGTCTGTATTTTTGTCTTCACCAAAATTAGTTAATTCTAATGTTTAATTACACAGATTAATCCAATAATTTAAAGAAAATATATAAAGACAGCCCTTGTATAATTATTTTAATAAAGCAGGAATCAGAGTTTATAGGAGCCATAATCAGCCGCAACATTAAAGCCACCTCTTTGTTGATCCACCACTCAAATAATACCTGCTCTGTGGTGGTCCTGTGGGGGTCCAGACCATTAAAAGAACAGGGTGAAAGGTGGCAAACAAAGGATGGAGAAAAACAGATGGACTACAAGGAAGTGGTTTTAATGGCTGATGGGTGCATATGATACATAGTATTATAAATAAAATAAAACATTTCATTTATTTATAATATAATTATAAATAAAAACACCCTAATTTACTATACCTAGCTCTATTACTTACTCGCATACACCTTGATTACCATGTATATGCATTAAAGAAAAATTGCTATGCTTTTCTTAAAACGTTTTTACAATGTTTTAAAAGGGCCCAAATGCTACATATTTTTTGTATTTTGTTTTAAGTCCACTCATAACATTTGTGAAGTTTTATGTGCCTCCTTTATTTAAAAAAATGAGAAATTTATATGATATAGGCCCTTTAAAGTGTCCTTTTTGTGGAACATATAACTAAAGTAAGATTCCTCCCTAAAAAAATACCTCCTAAAGACTGAACTCAAGTCTTCAGCTGAGTAAATTCTGAATTGTGTTAATATATTTGTTAATTAAATGTTTAGCATCAAATATTATTAGCCTATTATTTCGCTAGTTGTACTAGCTTCAGTTCCCCATGTTCCTCCACCTGAGAGACCAGGTACAAGAGTAAAAATAATTGGGATCAGCTTAAATATCTAAATATACTGGCTACTAATACTGTGTATTAGTGGTATATTAGAGATTCTAAAAGCTTCTGTCTCATTCTACACCCCAATTTAATTAGAAGCATGCATAAGATTGTTAAATACAGTGTGATTCAATGCAGTAAACTTTAAATGGTTTAAGTGAGCATAAAGTTTATTATGTAATTTTACAAGTGCTCAGTATGAACCTCCCCCAGCTGTACGGACAACATCAACGCCATAGTCAAATTCACCCCATACTCGATTGAGCATGGTGGGTGTCACTGTACTCACGGCTCTTTCAGTGCGATTTCGGAGATCATCCGGTGTTGTGGAACCAACGACGAATGCTCTGAGCTATTGGAGGGTCACTGCTAACGAAAAGCACACTACACAGTTATGAAGGATTCACTCTTATTGAAGGGAAGAATGCAAAATGCTTTTTGCTCAGGGGTCTCCATCTCCTCACAGACTGAAGGAAGCCGTCTTCTGGTGACAGTCAGAAACTCTATGACCCCCTCTTTCAATTGGATTGTGATTGGTTCCTAGGCGCCTCACGGTTGTAAAAATATGGCGCTTTGAAATCGGATGAATCTTTTTGAATCACCCTGTATAATGTTTGTTTGTTTTTTTTTGTTGAGAAAACACAGCAATTTACCTTTGAATATAGGTCTTATAACTGAGCAGATGACACAAATAAAATGGAAAAAATGGATTTATATACTGGTTCGCTATTAGACACACATAGCAGAATTACAAATCAACTGTTTAATTCTGAACACAACAAAAACTCTGATAGAGGAAGAGTAAATTACTGAACACATTAGAAAACATGGCTTAGGATTATAGGCATATCAACAGCAGTGAAACAAACACTAACAGTAAGACAGAAAGCTTGATTTAAAGCATATTACACTAAACGAAACTGGCTCCTCTCCTTCTCTCAATTTCCAAAATTAAAACAGCCATAAGCATCTTGCATACTATCCATATTAATTCTGCTACTTCTTAACAGCAAACAAGGTGGAATCATGACACTGAGTCAGCATCTCTGACTTTACACAAACCCCAAATCATGTGGCCATAAACATATTGCAAAGTGGATCCTCTGACCTCAGGAGTGGAGATTCTGATTCACATGTAGAGAAGGTGAGGCTTAATTCTATCCGCTTCTCCAAGAGCTCCAATCATTATCCAGGCACTGGTGAGGTCCAGCTTCGGTTGTATGACCAAAGGCATGTTACTAAAAAGAGCAGTGGGAAACAAATTGAGTGCATTGCATACAGAGCTGAGAAAGGTTTTCTATTACATATAAACACATACCAGCTGAAAATTGAAGTGAGTAATATTGTTAAATGATATTATGAACTAAGAATAATTTCAGTGAGGGTTTTTTTCTGGGACCTTTTAACTTTTTTAGCGAGAAATCAGGATTACCATCAGTGTATTACAACTTCCTTGAATTTTTCAGAATTTTCCTATCATTTGAATCTTATAATTTGATCACTGTAACAAAAAAACTAAATTTCAAGGCAACATGATGCATTAGGATTTCTGAGTTTTCTTAACAGCTGCTTTTGTAGTCATCCTTACTAAGGTTAATTTTAGTAACCCACAAATATTTCTTTGTTCATCCAATGGTAAGCTAATTCAGCTTCAGGAGTCTTGCTCAGGAATGCTTACTGCTACCATATAGTGTTGGTCAGGGAATCAGTCCCCAGTCTGCTGGGTGGAGGGCAGAGGTGTTACCTGCTATCCCATACTAAAACTGACCTCACTAATGCTCTTTTGGCTGAATGCAATCAAATCCTCACAGCAATGTTCCAAAATCTAATGTAAAGCCTTCCCAGAAGAGTAGAGGCTGTTACTGTAACAACAGGGTAACAAACTCCCTCTTACCCTTGATTTATATACCCTTATGATATAATTATATATATATATATATATATATATATATATATATATATATATATATATATATATATATATATATATATATATAGCATGCATGTACAGTACAACTAACACAAAGCTTACCAGCATAGCGAGAATGAGAGGCTAATCCGATTCCAAACCAATCACATCTACATCTATGTCCTCCTCCACATCCTCTTCCCCTGTGCTAAGCCCTGCCTCCAGGATGACAGTTGACATAGCAATGGGCTCAGAGGCGGAGCTAGACACCTCCAACACATCCACCTCCTCTTCCTCCTCTGAACATTGGCCTGATACTTGCATGTCCTTCTCAGGCGAGTGAGAGAGGAGGAGCTCACGGTCAGGGGGTGAATGCAAGAGAAGTTTGAGTTTTGAATCAAAAGTGGTTTGGGATGATACTGCAGTGCTGAGCGTAGGCTCGTTGTTGTTGCAGTCACTTTCTTCTCTTTTTTGGGCTGATTTGACAGGGTCTGCAAAAAAAGGCAAACCAATAAAAATAACAAAAACAGTCATTCTAAATTAAGCTTGTGCTTGCTGATTTGGTCATATGTGCAAAATTAATTTGTGCCAGTGAGCTACTGTGTGCTGCCACCTTCTCTGGGCTCGAGCTCATTTGAAATAGACAGAGGCACACAAGTCAATATCTGAGATTGTTTATGGAAATAATGGCTGTAATGTCCTCTGAGCCAAAGTAGAAAAAAGCCAAGCCAGCATAAATTTCAAAGATTTGTCATAGTGTGGGGCATATTACTGCCCAAGGCACATCTTCAAAGGCACCAATAACGGTGCAAAAACATAAACAACATCTGCTGCCTTCTAGACAAGAAAGTATGAGGGTTAGACTGGACTGTCTTCAGTCTAGACTTTTAAAAACGTGCCACATCATGAAGCGTAAAATAACACAATGAAGGTCCCTGTAGAGTTATACAGCTGAAGAGTTGTACAATGGAAGTATGGCAAAAAAAAATTAGTGTTGTTAAAAAGGCTAAAAGGAAACCTTTCAGGTCCTAACCTTTTTGGAATGTATTGCAGGCATCAAATTTACAAAAAACATATATTTAAAAAAATACAATAACATTCATAAGGCAAAACATTAAATATAGTGTGTTTGTATTGTTTGATCTGCATTACAGTGAAAATAAAGTTTAGAAATAACTTTTTTGGTTTGTTGCTGCACCATGTGTTAGATGTGGGCAATTTGATAATTTATCAAATTAACAACAAAATATTATGTCACAACACATTTTTCTGAGCATATCGTGACCATCATCTGTACTTAAAGAACACTGACCAACAGCATAATTAAGCCTGTTATTTGGGTTTAGTTCAGTGCAGTTTGTAAAACACTGAATAAAAAATTAACTAAAAATAAAAAATAAAAACGAAGTATTGTGATGCATATTGTGCAGAATGAATGTCTTGAAGTACTGCGTTATAATATTTTTTTACCACACAGCCCTACCTTGTATGTGTTTTTGCAGGGAGTTGTGAGGGGAATGTAATCGATAATCCCAAATTTTTAACAAGAAAATACTGTGATAATTATTTTTAGATACTGCCCACACCCACTGGCCTATTTTGCCACATTCAAGTCT